TCTTCTCCTTTCCTTTATTTTCCTCTTTTATTTTAATCAACAAACTAACATTTTGGCCCTAGTTGTGGGAAGTCCCTGATGTTCTTCCAGGGCAATTATTTATGGACCTTTATGCAAGAATGCACCCCCGTTTCTGCGACAATCGTCTGATCAGGGCGCACCTCATAATTTATTTAACTGATGCTCTTCCATCGACTCGCAACCGAGTTCCACGCTTGGAAGTAGTGAGGGTCACCGGGAATCCCTCTTTCTCACTTTGAGCAAAGTGAGTGGCACGCCTTCGCAGTCTTATCTGCCACGGGGCCAGAAAGGGAGATTTTGGAGACAACAATCTCTTTTTGGCACGCCCGGTGGGACCCACTGTGGGCTTTCACAAGTTTGTTGATCATATCCTCTATTACTAGATTGTGCCACCATGGCAAGTCCTTATTTTGATGATTGCCAGAAGCTCTTCATCACTCCGCCACAAGCTTCCTCTTATGTCAATCCACTTTATGATGAGAAGGCAACAGCTGACAGTGAGTCTTTCAAATCATTTGCTAAAAGGATAGCTGATTTTGCTGAGGAATCTAATAGGCTTCATGAGGAACGCATGAGGAGGTTGGAGGAAAAGTTGAAAGGATACAAATCAAATCTTCCAGAACTTAAAACCCCTCAACCCAAAAGTGAGGTTTTAATGGAGGATTCAAAGAAGTGCCATGCAGCCGCATCTCCAGGAACTTTGAAGCAGTTTTGCAAATCGCAAAACGTGACAAAGATGCCAATTGTAAATGAAGGTCAAACGACACTAAGGCAAGAGAATAACCCCATGATCATACTTGGGGGGCATGAATCACAATTACAGCGTGCTACCCAAAGTCAGCAACGCCATGCGGCTTTGGAGGCGACTTCAACAAGTATGCCTCCAAGTCATTCTAAGTCTGCAAAGACTAATACTAGCGATAGTCCTCTTACTCCTGAGAAGCATAAACCAACTCAGGTGCAAACATGTCAGCCATCGATCAATGAAGGTCCATCTAATGGCCGACAAAAAGTTGATGTTGCTACACAAAAGCCAACACTTTGGCCAGCATCAGGACATAAATCTGATAAGGTATCCACCTCATCTATTTCTACTTCTTTTGAGACTAATGAGCATATTTCTTTAGCCTTGCTTAAGAAGTGCTCGCGACGACCATGCTTTCTTAATGGTCGAAGCCCTTCCAAGTTCAATTATGGACAATGGCTAAAGGTGAAATATCCTTTTAAAGTCGTTAGTCTGAAGATGGGAGTCATTTCCAGTCTCGGGGGGCAACCTAATCAGATTGAACAATAAAAGTTGCAAGACCTTATTGCCAATGAAGTTCACAAAGCTATAGAAAAAGAGGTAGCAAGGTTTGTGCCATTGCAGCTTGATGCCAATTCAAACGTCCAACTAATGCCACCACAACAAAAGCATGTGTGTAAGCCTAGTCCACCTCAGCAACTTGTAGACTCATTACCCAAGGCCACTCAGGTGACATGCAGGCCACCATGTTGTCCAACATGCCGTAGGCCATATTCAAAAAATAATGATTCTTTCCAAAATGGCTTTCACAAAAAATTCCCAGATTTTCCTTGCAACCACAAGGATAACATGGGAGGCGGCATAAGAAACACCATGCCTTCACATCTGCCAAGTCGAAGAAGGAGGAAGAAATCTAAAGACCTCTGTTTGACACCAATGAAGGAACAAAAGCAACAAACCCATGTCTCTAAGTGGAGGCACGGGGAGCATGATCTCGTAGAAAAGCATGGAGGCATGTGCAAATGCTGCCTTTATAAACAAAGTCAATTTCGACATTGTCACCATATAAACTTGGTGGCCTGCCCAGAGTTCCCTACCCAAAATCCTAAGACTCTTCAAAGGCGGCTTCAAAAG